ATACTGAGTAGATACAGCAGGGGACAGTATTGGACAAGGTCCATTGACTCCCATTATAATTTATTAAATATTAATATTTCAAAAGCTATAAGTTGTACAGGCACCAAAAGGCATAGCCATCATTTGGAACAGGAGCTTTACAGATATAAATTACAATGGCAGATCTAGGACAAAGTATGCAGGAGGAGAAGCATGCCAAAGTGGAGATGACTCACAATAGTGTGCATTGCATTGGCAGTGCACACTGATAAATCAATGTTGTATCAGAAGTTTTTGCGTTAAACGATAATATTGTTTGGAGACCAGTTTACGTGGTGTAAACAAATTTACGCAGTGTAAAAAAAAACAACAAAAAACCCCCAAATCTCTGCGAACTCGAGGTGTGCTGACGCGTCGCCAGCCGAAGACTTGTAAAGCAGCCAATAATCCAACATATTGAGATGTTTTACATTTTTAATTTGCCTTTTTTTTTTTTGTCTCCATTGGTGTCAAAAACCCTGGAAGAAGCACTGTAAAACCCTAAGGGGTTTTAGAGGTAATTTTCGCCTGAAAATACACAGCAAAATAAATCGAATAGCTCCACAGTTATAAGGTCTAAATGCTAACTCTTGGTACCTCTGTAAATGTAAGATCTTAAAGATAATTTCTTAAGTGAAACCACTATTTTAACTCTTACTGTGCCTGGGTTATTTGTGATTAAATAAAGAAAATAAGTAATTTTTTTTAGCCTCGCCTAATTTTTTTTTAAATCAACTGAGTAAAACACAATGAAAACTCTTGTGAAAACCCAGGAATGACCTTAGATTTTATACATCTACGTCTTGAGAAAAATTTTAGCAAAGTAGGACTGAATAAGCTGAAGTATATTCATTTCACAAAGGTTTTAGTGAGCAGTGTGCCAGGCAGAAATGGGCATTTTGGCACAATTTTGCCAAATGTACCCAAAACTGTGTCAAATGGGTTTTTTACTTTATAAAAGAGAATCTGGTTTAATAAAAGTGTTGATTTCTATTGTAGGACTCATTCTGCATATGACATAACCTTTTCTTTTTACATTTACTCTGTAAATCATCAAAATCTACCATTGTGCACAACATGAAATCACTGAATGGAACCTAACTCCGCCTCAACATTTTACGCATGAGGGCTGTTATTTATACTCTCAGTTACACACAAACTTCACGTCACCAAACAAAGAGTAACACAGTGTCAAGATATATCCCTGAATTTGTGAGAGCTTCGTCTTTTCAAAGATACCAAAGGGAGGGGTATGGAACCAAAACTTGCACAGCAACAGATGTGGAGAACTTCCTGATACTGAAACGGTCAGCGACGGTTCAAGTAACTTACAAATGTTTATATAGCTCTAAAATCATAAATATTTATCCAAAAATAATTTGGCGACTCATTTAAAAAACATTTAAGACACCTTTTGTGGCAGACTTAAAAAAAATTTGGGAAAAATATGTTTTACACCTACTTTAACAAACAATGAATGACACGGCAGGGCCCGCAGGGCTCAAGATCAGTTTCCTCCATGATTTGACTGTAACTATGTGGTAGAAGATAAAGATTGATTTGGGGAACTTTATAACCAAAAAAAGCTAACAGGATTAATGAAGTTGTTCAGCTGTGCACTAATAATAAATAAATGTGCTTTAATAATCCCAGCCTGAAGAATCAGATCAGATTCAACAACAATTCAAAGCTCGTATAATCTCCCTGCGTTTAAGAACAATATGGGCAGATTAAATTTGCAGCAGTGTTTATCTCATGTTTTTCAGCTCCATCATTTATGACTCATAAAGCTGTTCAGGATTACATTKTAAACCATGTGTGAGTCAGAGCGTCTGTTTCTGTGTTTACATGCTGTGTCCATACTGTAGCTGTTGACGTGTTTTCTCTCTGTCCTGTAAACGTGTCCTCCTCTTCCTCCTCCTCCTCCTCCTCTTCTTCCTTCCATCCAGGAGATTCCTGAAGGGGATCAGGTAGGACAGCACAACAGCACACCCCGATATGGCTGCTAAAGGCTCTTTCACCTCTCTCCTTCGCTTCTCTTTTTCTCTCTCGGTTTGGCGATGTAGATAAAATAAATCACTATATTTATGTTTTTACTTTAAATACTGTGGCACCTGTACTATACTATAAAAATCGGCATTAAAAGCAGCAAGAAGATGATTCATACAAACATAACTGCACAGTTTGCAGTGGTGGGCACCAGCCCGCTAAAACGCAAATCCACTAATTGTGGACCTAAATATTTCATTTGTGCTTTAGC